GATTCTGCGGGAGGGTCCTGCCTGCTTTGCGGGGCGGGAGTGGGGCGCCCGACGCCTCTCCCCGCGCCTCTTCTTTCCCCGTCGCCCAGACCGCAAAAAAGGGGCCGCCGGTGCGTGCAGCCGCGGGGCGTGCGGGGGACGGACGGCCTGAGCGCCTGCGCAGAGGCGGCGGCGCATCGCTGAAACGCGTCGCTGCTTTATGGCACACGCGGCAGCCCCGCCTCGCACACACACACGCACGCACGCACGCTTTTTGCTGTTTCCCCAAAGCCGTGAGGGAAAACCCCATACATTTTTCCCCCTTTTTTAAACAAACGGAATTCTGCCACACTGGCGACACCGCAGGGGCGCGCATTTGTCCACGACCTGCGTCTCTCTTCGGTGTCTGACTCTGCCGCCTTCCCTGCGCCCCAGCAGACCTCTCCGGGTGGTTTGGCGGCCCCAACGCCGCAAGGGCACAAAGGAAGGAAGTAAGGAAAGCAAAAAGGCACACAAAACAAAATGCCTCGCCGGTTGCTTCAACCCACGCCGTTGCTGCCGCTGGCGGTGCTCCCCCCGCTGCTGCTGCTGCTGACGGTGCACTGCGCCGCTGCGGACCGCCGTGCGTTTGACGAAGCGACGCGGAGGAGCGACTTGTCGGCGGCTGCGGTGGTGCGAGAGGTGCCGCGGAGGGGGCAGGGCGCGGCGCAGGCGTACACCGTCGCAGCGGCGGCGGCGGCGGGAGGAGGAAGGAGCAGCGAGGGTTGGGCGCCCATCCGCATCGTGGTGTCCATGGAGAATTTGAACGACGAGACGAAGTACTGCACGGCGCAGGAGGATGAGAGCAAGCCGGACTTTGAGGGCCGGACCGTGGCTTGTGAAAGCTACTACATTCTGGATGCCGGAAGGAACAAAACCCTGGTGAACGAGGTCATCCCTGTGGCTGTCCAGCTGCACGCGGAGCGTCTGCTCGTTCAGCGCGTGGAGGGCTTCTTGAAGGTGCCCGCGTTTACTGCCGGGCAGGGGCGGTGCCAGCACTTCAAAGTCCCCGATGAGCACAAAACAACGGGAGTTGAGAATGCGGACATGTTGCTCTACGTGGCTGCCGGGGCGAGTTCCAAGACGTGGGCGGTCCCGTGTGCGTTTGGGACGGATGGTCGTCCACTCGCCGGTGCGCTGCATGTCTCGCCTTTTCAACGGTTGTCCGTCATGCACTCTGCCCGCGCTGCCGCGCATGCCATCGCCCATGCGCTTGGCTTCAGCGTGGAGCAGATGACGGCGCGGGGCATGTTGGAGGATGTCACTAACCTGCGCGGCAACCCCAACCCTGTAACGGTGGTGAAGTCGCCTGCTACGCTGAAAAACGCGAAGGCGCACTACGGCTGCCCCGACATCCAGGGCATGGAGCTGCTCAAGATGAACGGTGATGCGGAGCGAGCCTACTGGTCGCCGCGCAACGCGAAGGACGAGTTGATGAGCCTTTTTGGTGGGCTCACCGCCGGCTACTACACCGCGCTGACGATGGCAATGTTTGAGGACCTCGGCTACTACAAGGCCGTGTGGGGGATGGAGGAGCCGATGGCGTGGGGCAGAGGCGCGGGCTGTGACTTCCTCGAGAAGCCGTGCTCGGACAAAAGCCCCACCGAGCACCCCGGCATGTTCTGCAATAAAAAGACCAACGACAAAACACTTCGCTGCACGTCCAACCGTCAAGCCATCGGGTTATGTAATACTAATATTGCCGAATTCGGCGGTGCCAGGAACGAAAAGTGCTCAGTTTTTTGGCCGGATTGGGTTCCTTCAGAGCTTTTTTGCACCCTGAAAGGAGCGAATAACCCCCCTCCCCCCGGCTCCCTCCACGGGAGCGGCTCGTGGTGCCTCGATGCGGAAGAACTCAAGTTGAAGAGTCCTGGTGAGAATGCCCAGTGGCGCAACTACAAATTACACGCGGTGTGTGCGGAGGTGCAGTGCGGGGAGGACGGCGCGGTGAAGGTGAAGTACCTCGGCAACGAAGCGTGGCACACGTGCAACGAGGACAGTGTAATTGAAGTGAAGCCAAATGAACATCTGCTCGGCGGGAAGATCAAGTGCCCGAAGTACGAGGAGGTGTGCACCATCGCCGCCAACGGCAGCAGCCTCGTCAGGCTGAGCGTTGTGGAGGAGAGGATGCCTCCGGTGCTTGGGCCGCCACGTGCGGGGGCCTCTTCCACAGCTGCGGGTGGTGATCCCCCCAGTCCGATGGCTGCGGCGGCGGGAGCAGCTGCTGCGGCCCCCGATGTGCCTGCGCCGCCCACCCCGGCACCGGCGGCGGCGGCGTCCGTCAACATCAGCGCCGTGCGGGAGAAACTTGACGGGGCGGCGCAGCAACTCGGAAGCGACGCCGGTGCGGCTGCTGCGGCTGTTGGCTGCAGTCGCTTTGTGCTGCTCGCCGTGGCCACTGCGGCGGCGGCAGGGGCTATGCTGCCGCCTTGAGCCGCAGCAGGAACTGCGGCGGCTGGGCGCCAACAAATTGCGGCGGGGGGATAATGAATAATATACACACGCATCTGTGTGCCCCCCCCCCCCCTGGTGGAGCCCCGCACTCAGGCCGCAATGAGGCAGCAGTAATAATAATATGATACACACACTCACTGCACTAATCTTGTTTGTTTTTTGAAGGACGGAAAATAACAATTCTTGCTTTGCTTTGCTTTGACTTGCTTGCCAGTGTTTGCATAATAAGATATCTGTGTGATGGGCGGACTTGCTTTGCGTGGAAACTGTGTGGGGGCAAAAACAATCTAATTTTGAAGAGGACAAATCCCGGCATCAATTAAATATATATGCACGCGTCTGTTGCTGAGGGCGGGGAAGGGGAAGTCACTGCACTCTGGAGGGGGCGAGGGCGGGTTTGCGAGTGTTCCGCTGCGGAACAGGAACGACTGTCTTTGCTGCCGCATTTCCTACGCCTGGACTTGTTCGTTTGTTTCTTTTTACCCTTTTTGCAGCCTCTTGTTTCTCTCTCTGTGCGTGTGCTTTCTGTTGCTTCGATTGGGGTGCCGACAAGCATCGTTGCACCGGTTGCCAACACGTGCCCCCTGTTTTCCTTTTCTTTTTTCCCTCCGTTGCTTTTTTTTTGCTTTTGCTTGGTGTTGTGTGTTGTGGACAGCGCTCCTCTTGTGCCTGCGGGCGGCGCCGGCAGGGATGGTGCTGCGCGGCTCCCGGAGTCCGTTGCGGGCCCCCTTTTTTTATTCATCGCGAGTGGCCCCACGCCGCCATCGTACGCCACTGCGGAGAGCGTCTGGCGCATTGAAGCGGCCACGGCGCTCTTTCCGCTGCTGCGGGCTCCGCTGCGGTGGCGGGCAGGCGGTGCAGAGAGGGAGAGGCGCAACACGCGAGAGGAGGGGGCGGGCGTGAAGGCCACGGGAGACGTGCTGCGGCGCGCGGTAGCGGAGGGCGAGGAAGGGCAGGGCATTTTTGTTTTTTTCCTTTGCGGCGGTGCACTGCGCTGGCGGGCGCGATGCGTCTCCCTTTGGCGGTGCGGTCTTGTTGGCATTTCCAATCTGTTGCAATGCCGCACTGCCGCCCCGAGTCCCACCAGTCTTCTCTTGTCCTTCCTTTGCCCCCTCCGCTGCGCTTCGGCAGGCAAACGCACACAAACAACCACACGGTACGAATTGCAGGGCACGTGGCTGGTCCCTTCCCAGTCGGTGCTGGCAGTGCCGTGTGCGCTTTTCTCTTGTGTAATGTGGCTGCGTGAACTCGGTGGGCCGCCATCTTTTTGTTGTTTCTCTCTCTTCTCGTTGACTATTTTTCTCTTGCTTCTCCCTCCCCCTGCTTCGCAGCCCACTAGCTCTGCTGCGACCCTTTTACCCCACCGCCACTGCTGCTTTTATTGATGGCAATGACAGTGTGGCGCCGTGCGGTGTGCGCCCTGGCGCTCCTCGCGCTCCTCTGCGGCTGCGGCTGCGCCTCCGTCCGGGCGGAAGCGACTAAAGTGAATGTGTCGGTGGAGGTGTCGTGCCCGAACGCTGAGAAAAAGTTAAGTTGGCGCGTTGCCGGCATCAGTAATTCTGCTTGGAGCACCTGCTCCACCACACCGGAGGGTGCGGGGAGCAGTGAAAGCGATGTCCTCAGTTCTTTCCTCTGCCTTTTGGCCGGGTCGTTGTACAACGACCCCGACCGCAACCCCGGCTCGAGCGTGGAATGTACTTCTTCGCCCGCAGCAGGGGGAACTAAGAAGGTTGCATTCACTATGGAGTGCACGACGGATGAAAACAGTGCACTGCACAAGCGCTCGAAGGACGAGACCGCCACCATCAATGCAACGGGCAATCCACTGGCCGAACCAGGCAATTGTGTGTTACGAACTCCCAGCCAAAATGCAGCTCTCCAGCACGAAGGTGCGCCTCTGGGAGTTCGTTCACCCGCTGCAGGAGAACAACACCCACAACCACCGGAGGGGTCTGCGGCTTCTTCAACACAGGCAGCAGAGAAGGCAGCAGATGGACCGGGAACTACACAAACACCTTCAACCCCTCAATTCCGATCTGGCACGCCCAAATCCGCCCCTTCCGCTGCCGCCCCGGCCGCCACCGCCGTGGAGGGGGCCACCACAACGACGACCACCAGCGGCCCCAGTGCTGGGAGCCACGCGAAAAGCAACGCGGACAGCAGTGACACCCTCACCACAGCGTGGGTGCGTGCACCTCTCATGCTGCTACTCACGGCTGCCCTTGCCTGTGCTGCTGGGTAAGTGGTGAGGGGCAACCGCACACGCACCCACCATGACAGGGACGACGCGTACGCTTTTTGCGCTTATTTTGATTGTCGTCCCTGTGTGACAATCCTTCTTTCTCTCTCTTCTGTGCTCTGAGGGATGTTTTATTTTTCTTTCTCTCGTTCTTTTTCTTGCTTCGCCACTCCATGCACATTCCCACGGGCGGCGCACCCTTTTCCCCCTCCT